GTTTCAGAAAGGAAAGTGCAACTATATCGACGAGGCGTCGAAAGGAAATGCTTGCTGTAATGTAAACTCCTTCAGGCCTTTGTGATCGAAAATTTACAATCGAAAGTCCGTATATTTCAAAAATAGAATGTTTTCTATTTTTAATTCATCATACACTATTGCACATTTGAACAACATTGCACATGAAACAAAATAATACGTGAAGAGCTCAAAGTTCACTTCTATTTTCAAAAATTGGTGAGCAACAAGTGACCAATAGTATACTTTCAGTAATATCGACATTAACATTACTTTTTTTTTCTTGAAAATTTATACCTTTGTTGCAATCTATAAATGTTGTATCTACGATTGAACATAAGAAAATTTCTCATAAATATCATGTACAGATTAAAAAGACAGATTAAAAAATTAAATAAAACATTGCAAAAAAATATCAAGGTTTAATCTGTAGTAATTGCAATATTAACGTTAAAAATAGAATATTTTGTTGCAGAATATTGTGAAAGATTATATGCTTGATCGATGTAAGTATATTTGATATATTTAAGAACTATTTTACAAATAGTTTACAATTTGGTTATATTTTTTTCAGCTCCTGGAGAAAAGTAATTTTTTAAAACACATTAAACTTGTTCCCTTCTTCGCGAGCAGTATTCTCGACAACATGAAACTTCGACCCCACTTAAGATCGTGTTTGCGTCGTTCAAATCGAATTTGCGAGCATTTGACAAATGGTCCAGGCTTGCTTCTGGCAGTTTTCTAATCTCCTCAGCCTTCGATCTTAATTCACCTTGCTTTCTTGGTACACGCTGAGAAAAATCCATCTTCTGAGATATTCTTGGTCGCTATTGCAACATCTAAGGAACAACAGCGGTTTAAAACAATTCTTCCCGTCAATTCCATCCTATAAATTCATTTTTATTTCTCTTACCTGGCATTTATTGCTCCCTACATATTCATTTGAATGTTCATAGCCCATTTGTGGAAATGAACAGGCGACTATTTGGCACGCTAAACGCTTTACACGTAGCAACAGATGTTGACCTATTATCGTGTAATCTTTTACATATTTAAATGCAAATTACATTTTATATTTACAAATAGACGTACCAGGTGTCCACAATATAATAAATTATATTATTAATAATTTACAAGATATTTTTCTTGTCAAATTTATAAAATATCCCATTTTACATCTTCTAGAGTCTCATTCTCTAAATATCAGAAAAATATTTTCCATTCTGAAACTAAATTTATCCTCGATTAAATATTTTTCGCAAAAAGATACATTTCAGACACGCAAAAAAGGAATCGATTTTCTTTTTTCTTCTCAAGCGATATTTTCGATTCTATTCGCGCAGAATTAATCTGGGATCAAAGTCGAGCTTAACACCGTTAAAAAGTTAGAATCAGTTCGATTGATTCTGGATCAATTGATTATGGAATTGAAAAACAAATAAAGAGGAGAACATTTTAGAGAGAAATTATATCTCAGGACAAAACGTGCAATAATCATAATTTTCTTTGACCATGCTTTCTTGTTTACTAATGAAATAAAGCGGCGGCTAATGAGCTTAATGAGGAAACTCTGTTGAAGGGTGTACTTATCATCTTACTTACATCTTTCATAGACCTCGTTGCCGCTAAAATAGTCATGCGTGAAATAAGACAAAGAAAGGATTGTTGTTTTCCTCATATCACAAGTTAGAACGGTAAATAGAATGCACAATTCTATATTTGATTAGATTGGTTTTATATAGGTATTATTAGATAAGATAGAAATAAAAATTAATGAAAAATTTAATAAATATCTTTTCACAATGGTTCTATAACGATTCGAAGCGTTTATTGACATTTAATATTTGCATCACGTTAAAATAAATATAAATCCAGAAGAATACAACGTTTACCGAAAATTGATAACACCTGCATTTATAACTGTCGTTATTTAATTTTTTTTGTTATCTATCGCGACGCGAAATTTTCGAGGCAATTGACCACGTGCGATAAAACCGTACATATGCGCCACCATTGCAAACAGCTTTGCAAATCTTACACTCCACGCTCGAAACGAAATATATCGATATGTAATCGATATTTGGGTACTCACGAAGAATTTGAGAAACGAATCGATATATATTAATACTCGATCGATAATACTTCGAAAAAAAAGAGAAGAATTTTAGAAACGAATCGAAATATCTATATAATAAACATAACGTTCGATTAACGATATATATTTCGAAATAAAAATGGAAAACTAAATATATCGATACTCGATTGATGAAACTTGGAAAAAGGATTGGAAAATTTCAGAAACGAACGGAAATACTTATGTCAACGTTTAATCGATTTGATATTTGGAAAAAGAACAGAACAATTTAAAAAATTCGAATCGAAATAAATAATGCTTGATTAATAATAGTTTTAAAAAGAAACGAAGAATTGCAGAAACGAATTTCGAAATATATCAATGTATTATTATTAATTTTTATTAACAATTTCGAAAAAGAGGTGAGGAAGAATTTGAGAAATTGGCGGAGGATCAATGAGACGAAAATTACAGGATGAAGCCAATGGAGGAAATCGGTGGTTCGACGGATAGGATTCGATTGAACAAACATTAGAAAGAGCATACCGGGTCAGGGAGCACTTCAGTGTACCGCTGCCGACAGGTTCGAGGGGATACGGAGCCCTGTGTTTACACCCCTGTGGCAATCATTCCCCTAGTAGCTTCTGCGAGCCGAGACATAAGTGCAACTCGATTTGCATATTTAACTGAACCACCGTACCGAACCCTCCGCGTTCGTTTAACATACTCCATACCATCCATCCATGTCCTTCTCCTGGATCCTTCGCCACTTTCCACTACACTGGATTCGATTTACTTGCAATCATGCTGCGGATTAATTAGTTGGTCCCGACGTAAGCCCGACTATATTGCCGAAAGATAAATGCTGCTTTTCCTAATTGATCGTGTTTGATGGAGATGATACCGTTGTTTACGCACGAATCTTTCTTTCTTTTTTTTCTCTTTGATATATCCTTGAAGAATTTATAATAAAAAAAAAGACAAGGGACGAGAGGATAAGAATCATTTTTATATTAAAGGATCGCAAAAATTAATTAATATAAGATAATTTTTAGCCAGTTAAAATTTCGTTGAGTCCAAACTTTTTGAATCTTGCAAATTTATGCATAATTTTTTTGTTGTATTATAAATAAAAAATTATACGGTGTACAATTTTTCATTCGTGTCACGCGAGGAAAAGAAATAAACGATAATGTCCTTTGTGCATTTTCATATTTGACAGAGTATAAATATATCAGAGAACTAATAAATCTAGCGTAAGTTTTTAATTAAAAATTTTTAATCAAAAGGCATCTCGTTTTTAAAATAGAAATAACCCCTTTGCTATTTCGGTAAAAATGGTGCACCCAGTTTTAACAATCTTCAAGTTTCCCGAAAATTTTTTTTTATGAGGTTTTCTAATTGTTTCCACAAAATTTTTTTTGCCTTTTTAGATATTTATCAAATTTGTAGGTTATTTTATTTTGTACTTTCTAAATAAAAATTTAATTAAAACAATATTGGCGAATTTATTTCATTGTTTGAATTGTTCTTTCTTGTTTATTTTCAAATTCAAGATAGTTTAAATTTAATTTTGTCCACGATTAAAACGATTTATGTTTTTTATCTTAATCTATGTCTACTTAAAATAAGTATTCCTTGAATTTTAGATATGAGTGAAAAAAAAATATATATCATATCTTTAAATCTTGGGATACCTTTCTTAAAATTAATTTTTAGTCGATTTATATTATATATTCGTATAAATTTTAATACAATTTTTCTCGTATTAATAATAATAGTAATATTAATGCCGACCTGTGGGATATAGAATATTCCATATTTCAATTTTGCCATTTATCGATGAATTACGAATGATTACAGATATCCATTGTTTAACGTGAAAATCATTGTGAATAATATTAAAACGTTGTAACCATAAATGTACGACATTGTAATATTAGTGTGTATAATTATTCTCAATTATTTATCGATAAATGCATAAATTCAAATAAATATTCCATATAATCCACAAATGAAGTATAATTATAATGAAATTTCTAATTTAAGGTATATGAAATTAAATAATATGAATTTAATTGATATTATACGATTTTTTGTCTCGCTTCTAAATTATTTTAATAAATAAATTTTAATTAACGAATCGATAGAATAACTTTGGAAAGAAATTAAATTTAAATTCATTTAGTAAACGAACTTTTCCATTAATTATATCTTAACACAAACTATTAATTATTATTGTAACAATAGCATTAAGTTACAGTTTGTAATACGAAAAAAAAAAAATGTACGCACTTGCGCAAAACGGAAACGATAATTACCGTAGGGAAATAATACGAAAGTTACGAAGGAAGAAATTCTATAGTCTGGTAAACCGCGAGTGGACCAATGAAGAGGTTGAATCATGAGTGGCGAGAGAAACAATAAATCCTTCATATCGCACTGAGTATTATAATTAATGAACCCTTGAAAATGGAAAAAAATTAGGAAGAAGGAAAATATGATTGAAACGAGAGATCGTGCTTCAAATTACGACAAGTTGATGTAGTCAAGGTAAAATGCGATTATAACCTCATAAATTAAATTGTTCTCAAATTTTTTTTGAGATGAAATAAATTTATAAGTTTTTGTTAAATTAAATTTAATAAATCTCTTTTAAGTCTATCATTTTGAACACGTAAATGTACATAATATGTATCATTTATGTTATCTGTCATTTTATGTAGAAAGATTATAAACGAATTTCATAAATATATATTTCGATTATGACAAGGTGCATGCACAATGTAACTTTGCAGCTGCATGTATGATATATGTCACAGAATTGGTTGCAGTGACATGATCATAGCAAATCCTATAACTGTAAATATTTTACACATGATTCTCGTGTGCATCGTTCCGCTACATGAACGTGTATAACGTGTCATTGGCAGCCGTTATCTTATTGGTCGTTCTATTAACCCATGAAACAAACAAGGCCTACCGTGCTCGTATAACATCGCGGTATACATCATCAATGGACTGCTTCCAATAAACTATAGCAGCAGTTTCTGCCAAGTCATTAATCATTCAGAAGACGGTGCCAAAGAGAGTAATATCGAATAGTACGGAAACTGAAATCCCTTTGGACTAATCGTTTAAAAGTTTCTTCCAACACAAAATTCCTACATGAATAATTCGTGAGTAAAACTGATTTAACAATATGTTAATGTTTGACAAATTCTATTATTTTTTTAATTGTTTTTTTTTAATTTGTTAAAGTTTATTTGTAATCTGAGTTTATTTGTAGATATAATAGCAATTTCTTATAGTTATCTCAATTAAATCTAATTATGTGATTATTTGAAATTTATTAGAATCAACATCTGATTCAACATTACTATTCGTATTTAATGTGGATTGTATTTATATAGTTGTATATGAAAATTAGTAAATAAGATATAAATTTTCAGCGCAAGACAATATTAAACAACAAATAATTGTTTAATAAATACAATTATCATTGTATTTCTTTATAAATATAAATTATAGTAGAATGCTTATAAATGTTTACCAATTACACGTAAGTATTCCTATTATATTCTGTAAATTACCATTGATTCTATGAGAAAGATATTAAGACTTTCCAGTAATGTATTCTCTAAAAGCTTAGTATAAATATACAATACGAATATATAAATACAGACAAAATAATATTTTTCTGATAAAAAATTAAAAATTACAAAATCTAACAAAATTTCTTGCAATTCTTCGATCATCGTATGTTTACGTCATTCAATCAAAAATATTTGTTATAACTTTTGATTTTTACAAGTTCGTCTATAAATTCTGTAACTTCTTCACTAGGTCAAGTTCATCTGTTGTTAGGTATTCAAATTTCTTAACAACATTTTAACGAGATTATCTTTCTACGATGATTGTTTGATTTTATATGCATTCACAAAATCTTAATCTTTCAAAAGTCCACTGATGTTGCATCATATTCGTTCATACTTGACACGATCCAAGAAGCTCTTTGATTTCGCATCTTTGATTTCGTCCGCGCATCTAATACTCCTATGATCATATTTCTTTGATATGTATCCATTTGCTTTTGTGGCCTTGGTTTATAACAAATTTAATTCTTTGAAACCATACATATTGAAAACATTTGTACTGAACATAATATTTCCAAAAAAAGCTGTATGTATGAAAAATTTTTTTTAATCTTTTTTCATTTTGGTAAAATTCATGACCACAACTATATGCGTTATAGAATAAGAGATGATGTACATCTGTCTCGAATATATTAACTTTTGAAATTAATGTGAAACTTGTAAAATTATTTTCGAAAGATATTAAATTCAAAAATTTTATCAAAAGAAATAAAAGTATATAAATTTCTTTAATTTTTTTTATCTTACAGAAAGAAAGAGGATTATTGCAAAGAAAAATTTTAATTCAAAAACACTGGAAAACACTGGTTTGCTCTATTTCTATCACCATTAATTAAACCAGGAATAGGACGGAAGCAGACTCATGCGAAGATGTAAATTCAGGAAGCTCGACTAAGCTACAGCTTGTTAAACTGGTTACCGAGATGGGCATAAGAGGCAAGAAGCTGTGAACAAGAGCTACATCAAGAGTGCGTATATTGTTTAATTAACAAGTCACCGCAGCGCACTTGTCCCGTGTCCATTACAAAATTATTATATATAATTTTAATTAAATTGCAAATAATTAGTAATATGTAATTTATTAAATCGATAATTGTTAAAGAAGCAGTTTACAATAATTAATAATTTTAAAGATCGATACAAGTCGGTTGATAATCTCTCTTGGATAATTATTTCTTAAGATAACGACCATTCATTGTCACGTTAAATTATGCAAGTGATTATTCTTCAAAAATTAAATTAGTAAACTTGTATAATTTTTTATCACATTATACTACTTGTTTGCTTTTTAAAAAATATTTAGTGAGGCATTTAGAAAAATTTCATTTTTATCATCTTATTTCTATTTAAAAGAATTTTCTTTTATTACAGATTTTGCACCATATTTAGAGTTCTTACTTTTTTTTCTAATAGCTTTTTCAAAAGTGCTCAAACATACTCTGCAGACACGTGCGAGGTGTTCTCTATTGATATAGTCAAGTACGTGAGAGTTTCTAGGAAATTACATGTCAAGCGTCACTCTGTCGATGTGTCTATAAGTTCAAGCTCCACGAACGTTTACAACATGTGTCATGCAATCTCTCTATCGTCGTGCTTTTCAAGTGGACACACATACATACACAGAGAAGAAAAGATGGCATGGAGGTGCGCATTCACGTCGTGGGTGGTGTGAATTGACAAGAACATTACTCGGGCAAAATTTTCCCCATCGATGGTGTTGCAGATTTTACTGTAATCACGTTTTCGCTATATAATTATTGCACAAAGTGGATATGAATATCGGCAAAAGTTGTTCGCCGAGACACTCGACCTATCTTCAACAATTAAAGCATTGCGAAACAAGCTGCTTTATGCGTCTATGATTTTCCTTTAATATAAAATATAGCAAATTATTTCTATCAATAGTTAGACACGAAAGTGATTTGAAAATGTCAAAAATAATTGAATTTGTCATTTATTTATTGTGTTATTATTGATGTATGAAGATTGGATAATTATTTATAAAAAAGTACCACCTTCTTGATGATTGATAAATTTTTAATATATTATGAAGTTCATCATGTTGAATAATGTTGTGAAGATTTTACTTGCCATGTTAGTAGTTGTTCATTCAAAAATTATTAACAAAAAATTTTGTTTGAAATAATTTAAATTAGATTAGGTTAAGTTAAATAAGTTTCAATTATTCTCTCTCAATTATTCTTACAGATAATTGAGAGCCGACCACTTCTTGACCACCAAATTAAAAAAATTAGTTCAAACCCAAAACCATTAAATCAATTAACTAAGTTTTTATTTAATTTTTTAATTAATATAAATTATTTGATATCAAACAAAGATGATTTAATTTTTGATTTCATAGTTTATTGGATTTAAGTTTGGATTTAGATATTTTTTATATTATTATACATTAATAACTTCTTAATAAACGATCCAGATAAAAACTTTATAATAGAGAGATCAAAAAGTAATATCTTTTTGTAAATTTCAAAAAATTTTTATAAAAAAAAATTGAATGAAAAGTATTCATATGGATATTCAAAAATAAATGAAAACATCGAATATATACATATATATATATAAAGTAAAATCTTCATATCCACGAAAATGGATTTCAAGTTCCCCTTATTTGATACCGCAAATAATAACAAATATTATAATTCAAGTAGGGTCAGATCGATAGGATTCAATTTAATATATTAAATATTTGAATTTTATTAGAAAAGTAAAATTTGATTCAATAAATACGAATACATAAATAATATTTTAAAAAATCTTTAAAATATTGTAAATCTTGTAATCTTTTGTAAAAGCATATTTAATTAAACAAAAATTTTCAGCATAAAGTAAAATTTATTTTATTAGTAAAATCTTTAAAATTAAATTCATGGAACAAAATCTCTCCAATGTAAAATAAAATTTATTTTTTTATAAAAATCTTTCTAGGCATAAATTGAAATTTATTCACTAAAATTTCTATGATATAAAATTTTGTTTCGTTGAAATTCTGTTTCATATTTCTTTTATACAAACATTTTTGAACCGTATATATATATATATATAAATGGAGATGGAAATATACATGTTTTATCTTCATCCACGAAAATATAGAGCAAGAAAGGCAATCTTGATAAACTGTACCCTAAGATCAATCAATCTAATACTCTCCATCGAATCAGAAAAAATATCTTTCATCCTATAATCTCGTTTAATCTTAAATTATAATTTTGTCCAATATCTTTTTCGATACAAGATATAAAATGATTCTAGAAATATTTAAATATGAAAATATTTAATGCTTCAAAAATAATTTTAAATTTGTATGAATTCAAATGATAAAACACTCTGAAATAATAATTATATCGAGTCCTCAGCGTTTAAACTTTTAGACTTTTAGACTCCCTGTTCGAATATCTTTAAGGAGCGCGATAAATACAGGAGGATCAGCATTAGTGGTCAGGACTTGGAATATCACGGACTACGAATTATATAAATCCTCGGACAAATCCAGATGGCTTTAGCACGTGTATAAGGTGTAACCGAAATCGTAGAATGGAAGAAAGAGAATTTAGTAAGTATAAATTTTCATTATAATTATTTTTTTTTTAAATTTGAATATAAATATAAAATTATCCAACATTGTTGCAATTTCAATTTTTATTTAAATTAAAAAAAAATTTTTTTAGTATATTCAGTGTATTTTTTAGAAAAGAGATGCAAATTGAGTACAACAAGTTTTTACAGAGATAACAAAATTTGAAAAAAAAAATATCAAACTGACAATAATAAAAATAAAATATATAATATTCCAGTGTGTATTAATTTTAAATTTTTGTACGAATATATTAAATTCGAAAAATTTATACTTTTGAACGTAAAATTTAACAAAACAATTAAATATATTTATCGTTTTATTTATATATGTGAATTGTAAATTTTATCTATTCATGCAAAATCATCTTTTTTCGTAAGTTATATACGTTATTACGAAATATATTTTATAAAGCTCTGGTACGTGGAAGCTCATACGTATGGTTGTATCACTACTGGCTACTGTTATACATGTATACATAATACGTACAGTGAAGAAACACGCCATCAGCAAGAAAGATCTTTCTGACCTATATTTCTAGCTCTGTCAACCTTCTGCCGTGGTAAGATAAGAGATACTAATACGCTTTTTCCGTATCTTTTCTGTAAATTGATGCAAAGTATAAGTGACAACAAATGTGACGAAAAAAAATTCAATTTTTTTAAAGTTTGCAATTATCAAATGGAGTAGACAATGTGATTTCTAATAATGTGAAAAATTGATAATGATTTTAATTAAAAAGAATTAACGATATTCCTGATTTAAATTATTCTGAAGAATTTTTTTTCCCATTATAAAAATGTTAAAGGATTATAAAATTTATTTAATAAACAATTTCTCGCGTATTATGCGCATCTTAAAATCTAAAATTTTCTCGAATATTATATTAATTCAATGTGTGCTCGTTTCGACGCTTTGTAATAATGTTACTAACAGTTTACTACGAACTAGACGTAGACACTTGGAGAGAAGATACGTTTGAAATGTAATCTGATCACTGCATCGGCGCGTGTATCAATTACGTTTGTCGTAATCCGTGCTAATCAAGCGCAGTTGGCTCAGATAGCGTTGTACAACAGAGATAATGCAAGGAAATGGCGAGGATACGTTGACTCCATTGTTCAAGCAGTCTCTGACGAGTGACTAATTACACATCGTGCTCACTGTGTATCCGCGAATGCATTATTGTATCTCGAAGAATGCTTGTTGGCCCTTCGTTCAAAGAAACGTTCGTCTTTTTACCTGCAAATGAAAAAAAAGAAAAAAAAAAAGAAAGAAAAGAAAAAAGAAAAAGGAGAAGAAGAAGCAGAAGAAAATGAGAGATCTAGATCGATCTAGATCTAAATCTATATCTAGAAAAACAATAAGATTGTTTTTAAGATTATTTTCTCGATAAAATATTTATCCCTTAGAAAAGAAAGGAAACAAGAAATAAACAAATAAAGAATTTAAGAGTTTTGAGAATTTTGAGAAAATTTCGAGTTATGCAAATTTAAAATTATATCTAGTAAAAATAAAGAATAGTAAAAAAAAATAAGGTAAAAAAAAAAAGAAATTTTAATTCACCTTTTAATTCAGCTTCGTTTCTCAACTCATTACCCTCAAAATGGTGTCCAATATGATTTACACAACTTCTCACTATGCGACAGACACGAGCTCCAATTATTTTCGTAGTAAACGGAAAGAAGACAATTGTATTCGAACAATTACGACTGAAATGTAAAGAAAAATTCTTTGTTTAAATGGAAATTATTCGTAGAAATTATAAAGCCAATTGAAAATTCAATTTTTCGCTTGATCTTTGATGCATTCTTTCATTTTGATAATTTTTAGTGAAAAATATAACGAAGTAATTCTATTAAAATAAATCGATTTAACTATTTTTAATAGATTTAAATATTTTTGTAAATTATGCATAAAATAATCGGGAGATTATCATTTATATTTTTTTCTCTTCTTTGTGAATGTGCAATTTTTTTGTATTGTCATTTTTTCTCTCTTTATTTTTCTCTTAGAAATGTCGTCTATCATTACATCTTCATCTCCTCTTTCGTTCCACACTTCCGATATCGTCGTTCCGAACGATACGTTCGAATGCACATGGCATTGGTAGCTTTAGCTTCTCAACTAATTAAATTTCCTTCGTTCCTAAGAGTGACATAGGAACAACAGGAAATTCCCTTTTCGTTCCCTGAACATCGGTCCCCCACTTCCGCAATTCAGCAATTGCGGTGTTCCTTGCTCCGGATCTTTCCCCGGCTCGAATGGAATTATGATCCAAGAATTATCGTCATTGGTCGCGTTTCGTCGCATCGTCAATGCTCTCTGCGAATTTTCCTTTTAGATTATCGAGATAAGGAGAAAAGGTATTCATGGAATATTCGTATATCTTAATTTGAGAAATGAAGAAAATTAGTAATCTTAATATTTTTTAAATAAAATTTTTTTGCCGTATTAGTGTTCGTTTATATTGATTGAAATTGATCTATAAATCTATAAATTAAGAAATATTTAAGAGATAATCATTATTTCATTCGTATAGTTAAAAATATGTTAAGAAACTTGAAGAAGATAAAAAAGATAAAACTAAAAGATAAAAAGTGTGGTTTCTACATAGTTAAAGTAAATTTACCTCAGTGATGATGGATATGTACTGATCTTAATTTGGCTGATCTTTCTTATAGTTATTTCACTTTGGAGTTATATTAAATCTAATAAAATGGAACAATAATGATGCAAATTAACATAATATGTTAATTCCAATCTGAAATACTTTTGCAAAGAGCAAATCCATAAAATATAAATTATTTAAATAAATATATTTTAATTTTTTGTTAGTTTAATGTTCATTTTATTTTTGACTTTATTTCGTATATTATTCGAGATTAATCGAGATAATAGATATCGTAATTACGATATTTATACATAAATTTAATTATTCATAGAAATGTGATATTTAATTTATTTTTAACAAATGTATCGTACATATGCATTTCTATTATTTTTTCTATAGAAATAATTGTAATATTTGATACATTGTTTGTAATGTATGTATGTTGTTTTAATATATTTTCAATATAAATAATTTTACAGTTTGTTGAGAATAACATAAAACAAAAAAAAAATTATACAAATTATTTAAACAAGAGTTATTTCATCAAAAAATAACTCTATTAATGTAACTTTACTTTCAGAGAATTTTTAAACGATAATACAGCTTGTAAAATCAATATTTGCAGCGTAATATTTTTTCCAATGTTTTTCGAAGTGTAATAGTTCTCGTTAAGTTCAATTATACTAGTCATATACGAAAGTAGAATCGATGTTTGCTGCGTAAAATTTTATTAAGTAAATTTATATGATAAAATTTATGGATAAAATTGGAATCTATGTTTCTTTGTCAATTTTAATTTAAATAAACGCGATAATATTACTTTATTTTATTTTTACATGCATATTTTTCTTTTTTTTACAAATACATAGTTCGTATTACTTTTATAATATACATTCGATTTTTCCAAATGTCAAAATATTTACAAGAAGATATTTTTGGAAGCTATATATATTTTGAAGTTCAAAACCAATCCGAATGAACATTTTGAAAATATTAAAATTGGAACATCATCTTTTCTAAATAGTAATCGAATTCCATTAAAAGTTTGTATTAGAATTGATCTAGATTCAAAAATACAAATTTTAGATCTCAATTTTATCGAACAATTCGCTATAATCTCTATATAATTGAAAAAAAAAAAAGAATAACGAAGCACTCTTAAAATTGTAACTGTAAAAATTAAAAATCATAAATTGATTCGTTATTATTAATATAAGAATATGTTATACATAATAAGATAATATATACATAATATAATATTATACATAATAAGAATATATTATAAGTTATCTTAAGATTTTGTACATTTATTATCCTGTTAATACATTAAGATCAAACTTCATTCATAGTTTCCTCAAATTAAAGATTTTGTCTTATTAAGACTTATACCATTCTCCTTTTAATCCACATAATCGTAACGTGTAACTGGATTCAACGGTTCGTTACCATAATAGGATTTCCCGAGGTTCGCCAATCTAACCTCAAAAACTCGTCGATTTTTCCCATAATCGTTACGTCTTTACCGAACATTTAATAGCGTTGAGCGAATGCCAAAATCTGCTCGTTTGTGGTGTGGCGCGTGAAGAGAACCGGAAATCGTGGTTTCACGACGAACACGTATGCCACAAGCCAGTATATGCGTGCAATAATTCACTGGTCCGTAATAACGAGTTGGTAACTGGCTAATGAATAACTGGTGAAAATTAAACAGCTCACAAATCGAGTTTCGAGTTTCCGCGCGCGAATCTGTGAAACAACAGTCACGATTCACTATATTACTGAGCTAATAATCGCTATGCCAATCGTGCTAATTAGCAATTGCGAGAGAAAAAATAAAAGTATCCAAAACTAACTTTTATACTTGTTTGATATTTGATTACTGACAATGTGATTAATAGTTGATTGATAATTTAACGAGGAATTTTAAAGAATCGAAATAGTTTTGAATTATATGGTTTTAACTATAAATACATGATAACTACAAATACTTGTATTGTACTTTATTAATTACACAATTAATAATAAATCTGTAAAGTTGTAATATTAGCACCTGCTAACTATCAGAATTCTATTATCTAAAAATTAGTATTATCTTAAAATTAGTAAATTAAAATTAACATATTAAATTAAAATCATCCTCTTGATAATATAAAATTACGATATATATGATTATAATTAAACTTATGTTCTAAGATTCAAAAATCCAAAGTTATCTCTATTATATAGTAAAAAAATTAAGCAGATCGCATAACTGCGTAATAATAAACTATGTGTTTGAATGTCGACTATGCTCGCTAGACCGAAAGATCAACACAATTTGAATACATTCCGGTAGCTAGATTAGCAGATATGCTCTGTAAATACTCTGCCTAATTATGTGCTATACTATCATCATATGAATATTATATTCGTTTTCTTTTTATAAAATTCATTCAACTTTCATCACGAATGAAAAAATGAAAAAAAATAATGATAAAGAAATGATCGAGTATCTTAAAACTAAAAAAAATCAATCTACACAAAAATAAAATTATGTATTAAAAATAATTCTTGTATAATATGTAAACTTTTTAAGTTTTATTAAGATTATACGTAATTAAATTCTTAAATAAGATAAATCAAACAATATAGATTTTTATAATATTCTAATTTACTACTTTATAAATTAAAAATTAGAATCAATAAATGTAGAATTTAAAAAAAAATTCAATTCAAAGAATAATAAATAATAAACATTTTTGTTAGATATATAATAGATGTTTCCAAATAATGTGTATCTACGTAAGTACATATTATCTGTACCTCTGCAGATATGTCGCATTATGCACATACCTTACATCCGATTATACAAGCAGATATAGGATATGCACTAGTGGCTAAATTTAGATAAACCGATCCATTGATTGAATATGATCCTAAATTTATTATTTGAATATTGATACATAGATGAAATATAATACATTTCGTTAAACTCTTGTTTGCTTTAATATGATAATTACTTCATTGATCCATATTGTTATTATTTACTGTTATTTTTCGAATAAATAAAAAACTTAGAATCTACTTACTGAATTGAGCTTACTATTTTTCATTTAATTTACAATCTTTGATATCTTTTATTAGTATTTCGTTACATAGAAAAATAATCTTTTTGAATTATGATTTTAATTGTGTTTATTTTCGTCACGTGGTTTTATTTATGCCAGAACATAACGTTTCCTATCTTTGAATGAACGTTATTTATGATTTAACCTAAATTAACGAAAAGAAATCTAAAGAAAGCAATCTAAAGAAAGAAATCTAAAGAATTATTAAAAGTATTAAAAACATTAATATAACAAAATGTACATATGTAATATTTGTGAAAAGATATATTATTCTTTTTTTAACTTATGGTAATGATTTCATGGTATAGAACCATGTCTTCGCTCTCTTTGAGTAAATTAAAAAAGAAAACACCAATAGAAAAGATTAATAAACAAAGAAAAAACATTAAGCGATTTGATGGATTAACAGAAGAAGAAGTACAACAATATACTTTGCCAGATTATCTAGAAATGAATCTGGATTTAGTTTTTGTTGGTATAAATCCGAGTTTAATGGCAGCCCATCGTGGTAGATATTACGCAGGTCCAGGTAATCATTTTTATAAACTTTTACATGAATCAGGATTAACACCTCGATGTTTAATTTATGAAGAAGATTATAAACTTCTTCAATATGGAATCGGTCTAACAAATATAGTGACTAGAGCTACAAAATCTTCCGCTGATTTAAAACGTACAGAAATCAAAGAGGGTTCTAAAATCATAGAAGAGAAATTAAAACTTTACAAGCCAAAGATTGCTGTTTTTAATGGCAAATGTATTTATGAAGTATTTGCTAATAAAATAAGTAATTTTAATTTTGGATTACAACTAGAACGCATTAATGAAACTGCAATTTGGGTCACTCCATCTAGTAGTGCTCGTTGTGCAAACTTTCCAAGAATGACAGATAAATTACATTTTTTTACTGCATTAAAAAAATATTTACAGTTCTTAAAAGGAGAAATCAAAGATATTAATATACAAGAATTTTTATTTGAAGGAAAATGCAAACAGTTTATTCCAAAAACATCAAAAATGTGGAGACGAAAAAATGTTTCTGCATTTTTACATGGAGGAAGAATTGCTAATAAAGATACCATATGTTTAGATACATCTGATGAAAATATTGCAATAGCTTATAGTACAGAATTCATTGTAAAGAAATTTCAATCTAATGAAAATAATAAAACTAATGAAATATCTGAAACAAGTGAATCTGATTCATCACAAAATTTTGAAGAATGTATTTCGCAAAATATTATAAAAACATTTTTCGAAAATGACAAATTTTCACAAAAAAAACATTTACTATCATTAAATAATGAAGAGACAAAAATAAATCAAATCTCAACTAATAATTTAAAAAATATAAAACAAAAAATAAAAACAAAAACTAAAATGAAAAAAAATTTTTCTCAAAAACCAATTATAAAAAAAGATTTTAAAAATAATATTGATACAGAGTTCATAAATTTGATAAAACAAAGACTGGAAAAAAAAAATAATTATCTCGATGAATAAATTGAATGTTTTTATAATTAATTTAATATTAAACAATAAAAAATTTAATTAGTAATACAAATAATACAAATGAAATATTTTTTATATAAAATTTATTATTAATTAAAAAATTAGATTAAAGTTGTATTTCATTAGATTGTTGAATGAATGATGAAAAAAATATCAAGATTTGCAATAATATAAAATATATTTATTTAAATTTGAGAAAAAGTGGATATACAAATATAACTTTCTTTACTTCATAATATAAAACAAATATATGAATATTTTATGTCTTATTTTACCCTAGCCATATAATCATTAAAGTAAAAATTAATATAAAAATATGATATAATAACTATAATACAAAAATAAGAAAATGGCTAGTAAAAGGAATGCAGATCTGATTGATATTTTATAAATATTTTATAAATAAAATAACCAGATTAAAATAATTTAATTATTAATTAATTAGTCTTTTTTCACATAAATTTTTATCAGAAATTAAAACTATCATATTTTAAATTAAATCACATAGAATATACCAAAAACAGAAATCTTAAAGTATTTAAAATTTGATTAGATATGACTCAAAGTATTTACTATTAACACTTTTAAGAAGATAAAAATCAAAATACTGCAGAAAATTTAATAATGGTTTGGAATTGTCACAGATAGAACAAAATTCCCCTTTATCTTTATGCCATTCTGTTAGCTATTTTCTCATTTTTTTATAATATATTATATATGTATATATATATATATATATTAATAAATATAACGTAATTATTTAATTGAGGAATTTTGTTAATATTACAATTTTGATTTACTTGCTTCTATAAGTGTTTTTAGTTTTTGAGTAAGCATGATATTTCCAGTAATCTTTAATTTTTGTCGAACGAATGCCATTTGTGGATTCAATTTACCCAAAGCCTGCATGAATAAAATAATTTATAAATTAAATATATTATTTACATGTTTGAAATAATATATTAATATAAAAAAAAATTTACCATTTGAATCATGTCAGCATCTTCAAGAGTCAATATTGCATCAGGCTTTGATTTTGGTTCTCCTCTATATACTTCAGATTTTTTCAAATCCAAAGCTTTAAAACAATAAAAAAAAAAATTAAGAATAAAGTTTAAAGATTAACATAGATTTAAAAAAGAAAAAGTAAACTTACTCCATTGTGCTTGAAGTTTTCCTTTTACCAAAATATGATAAAGAAATATTCCATTGATTTTTTTAACTTCATCTGAATTTGCTTTTACATATTCAGCAATTTTAAAAAATACTGCATCACTTTCAAGAGATGTGTTACTAATGTCAGATGAAAGATTTTCTTTTGATTGTATGGATATTGTACTTGTTAAATCAACATAACCACCTGCAATGCACAAAATTCAAAACATAATTTTTAATAATTACATTGAAAAAAATCAAAAAAATATTGAAATAATTATATTAATCAATTATATGTAAAAAAATTGTATGAAATATCATGCATTTTTATATTTTAATAATTCTTTTAAAAATATAGAAATTTATTTTTTATTTATTTATTTTTATATTTATTTTTAAAATATAATTAAAATTAATATATAATAATTAGTATATAAAGCTTAAATAATTTCTAATTTTATAATTAATTAATTATTACCTGATAAAACTAATATATTTTCTTCCACAGTATGTGTTTGAAAATGTATTCTATTACCTTCTTGCCACATGTCCGTTCGTAATGTTTGACCTGGGATTACTGGTTTTGCAAAACGTGTCTGTGATATTCATTAAGTAAATTAATTTATATAAAAAATCTCTATTCATTTACATACATATAATTTTAATCTTTTTATTGTATAAATGTTATAAAATAAAAAAGATAATTAAACTATATGTATTGTGTATTTTACATATATTATAAATATAATAATATTATAAAATCTTATAATAAATATATAAAAATGATATTAATTATATAAATATCTATAAACTAACCTTTACAGCTTTAAAGAGACTTGGATCACCACCAGTATAAGTTTGAAGAACATGGCGAACGGAAAATCCAAGCGTACATAATCCATGTAGAATTGGTTGTTTAAAGCCAGCTATCATTGACATATTTGAATCAATATGCAAAGGATTTTGATCACCACTTAATCTGTACAAAGCAGCCTAAAAATTCAAAAATAAGATTCAATTAGAAAATTAAAAATGATTACAAAAAATTATTATTTAAGTTTTTTTCTCAGAAACTATTTAGAATTATTCAAAAATATAATTTCAGATTAACAAATTCAAACAAATTGAATATATGACATCATACTTGATCTTGATTTGTTTGTTGAGTAACCGATATATCTGGTTCTCTATTTGGAGATTCAATAGTTGGTATAATATATGAAGATGTTCGTTTTCCTTCAAAATTACCAGCTCCTAGTATAAATATTATCATTTGGCCTGTAGATAATTTATCTTTATTACTAGTATCAAATGTATCATCTGCAAAAAAAGAAATATTTTAGTTTTATTTTACATAAGATAATATTATTTATAAAAATGATATTCACGTACGTTGTATTACAACTAAGGCACCTTTTCCCTTATCTACTATATCTACAATTTTATAACGTGTTTCCACCGTAGCTTCCGTAGGTAATTGTTTATAAATTTCAATATATTGTTCTCCATGTAAAATCTAAATATATAATAAATTCATTAAATATTATTTAGAGACATTATATAAAATAAATTACCTTTGTTGGATCCAATTCAATATGTGGTAAAAACTTTTCATACATAGAAAATTCCGAAGCAACCATTGGAGCATATATAACGTAAAATGTAGGCAATACAGCAAAATTGCTGTCATTTTCATATAAATAACGAAAATCAGTTGGTGTTTGAACAGAGGCGCCAACTGAAGCAAAAATTATATTTTGTATTTGTATTTTAAATTTATATTTTTAAATTCATATTTTAAATTCATTCTATTTCTTTAGTTAATAAAATATAATATAATTTTTAATCAACTATTAATGTAATTATAATTAAAATTTAATAATAATTGTACCTCCTAATGCATATAATATAGTATCCCGGTAATTGTAAGTATGTCTAAGGACGTCACTGTTCTAAGAAAAAAAAAATTTATAATAAAACGTAATATTATTTAATTTTAAGTAATTAATTAAAATCATTATCTTAATTACTTGTAATTCAGAAGTTTGAGAATTCTCGGATTTCGTTGTTTCAATTGCAGTCATGAATTCTCCTGTTACTTCCTACAAAATATAAGGAATTTAATATTTTATCAAGCAATAAATTATTTATAAATAAGATAATAAAATAAAATAATAAAAAATTATATATAATTTTATATATAATAAAAAATTGTATGTACCTCAATAGAATTAAAATGTTTAGCATTTGACATATCAGTAATAACTTGCCATTTGTTTTCAACATCTTCAGGAGTGATTTCGCTTGATAAATCTTGTCTTAATATGGATCCCGATGAACGAATTACATGACCTAGAAATATTTAATATTATTAAAAAATTCTTTCAAAATTATATTTTTTTTCATTTATATTTTCCATTAATAAATTATATATAAGTTTTTACATATATTTATAATATTTAAAATATTTTATATCTTTTAGTAATAATTATCCAGGAATTCCATTTTTAGGTTTTTAATAATGATTTCTTTTTAATAATTTTTTATAATTTTGTACTTTAGATCACAATAAAATTATTTTACTAAATCTTTATTATATTCTATATATATATATATATAGAAATCATTTGTACTTACATTTGCCTGCCCAACCCAATGCAGATTCAATAATAGAACCATTTTCCATACATTTTTCATGACACAGCCAAACTACTACAGGAGCTATTAATTCAGGTTTTAATTCTTTAAAGAAATCTAGAAAATAGATAAAATTGACAAAATTAGTGTATTTAAATACAATAAATTTTTATCCTACATATATAAGTTTACATACTACATATTACATACCTGGTGGTAAAATATCTTCTGTTAAACGAGATGCTGCTGTTGGTACTATCACATTTGTATGTATGTTTTTTTGTTTGCCTTCAATAGCTAATGTATTAGTCAAACCAATAAGACCCATTTTTGCTGCACCATAGTTAGCTTGACCAAAATTTCCATATAAGCCACTATTACTTGCTGTCATAATTATTCTACCATATTTTTGTTTAACAAAATAGGGCCAAGCAGCTTGAGTTGTTTTAAAAGCTCCTTTTAAATGAACATTTTGTATCAAATCTGAAATTAAATATAACTTTTTATTTTAATCTAAAAAAATAATAATTTAATTGACAATATAACAATATAACATACCCCAATCACTTTCTAACATTTTGGCAAAAGATTTATCTCTTAAAATTCCAGCATTATTAACAAGTATATCTATTCGTCCAAATGCATCAATAGCTGTTTTAACAATTTTTTCACCATCAAGAACAGAATCATAATTAGCCACTGCTCTGCCACCTATAAAATTAATTTATAATACAATATTTTTTTTTAATTATAAAATAATTATTAATATATATTAAAATATACTAAAATAAATCTTTTATATAATTTCAGAATTTTATACGATATGTATTTAAGAATATATTCATAGATTGTATTGAAAATATTATAATTTTATATATTATATATATTGAATATATATAATGCATTGAATTGCATATAGTTATGAATATATAAATCAATTCCAAATATTGTCTTACCATTTTTTCGAATTTCATTGACAACTGAGTCTGCAATTTTAGTACTACTTCCATCACCATCTCTACTTCCACCTAAATCATTTACGACAACACTAGCACCTCTTGAAGCAAAAAGTAAGGCATATGTACGACCCAAACCTAGAAAAAAATTAAAATATAAAGAAAATTAATTATATATGGTAGATTAGAAAATAAAAATTACCTGCTCCAGCTCCGGTTACTATAACAACTCGATCGACGAAAGATAATTTTTCTTCTCCCATCATAGCAAATTCAATACTGATCAAAATAAATTAAAAACAAAGAGTTTAAATCGATCTGAACTTATATATAAATGTCTTACAATGAGTATGCAAAACAAGAGGTTAAAGTTCATCGAATTTTACTTACAATCTTGTTTCTTATATTAACATAAACATAAAGTATATTGTTATCCAGATAAGAATTCGTTAACTAACCAATAATAATTTGTTATATATGTATAAATTCTTCTTATAAAAATATATTGTTTTTTTTATACATACTAATAATTATCTATAAAATATATGTAAGAAATTATGTAAGAAATTTATTTGCAGATAATACTAACTTATAGCACTAAAACGTAATATTGAAAAAAGAAAAAGTAGGAATTGTATTGCTCGTACTTTCGTTATTTTTTACTATTATTTACTATTTTTATCATATTATGTAGCATAGAATATATAAAATATATAAAATTATCAAATTGATATTAATAATTATTAATCATTTTTAATTTTAACAATTGAGATTCAATAAAAAAATTGAGATTCATTAAAAAAATTAATTTTATAAATTTGTGTTATTTCATATGTAATATTTATTAAATAGTAAATAAATAAAAGAAAAACAGATTTTATTTTATTTTTAAAATTTATTTTTTAAAACTATATAACATTTATACACAATATTTTTTCAAAACATAAAAAGCAGCAATAATTACAATAATTATAAAGTATTATTAAATTTAAATCTATTAAATAATAATTAAAGTATTAATTTAAGTCTTATTTTCATAAAAGTCATTAGATGAACAATTTTATAATGTAAAATGAATATAAAATTAAAACGATATTAATATATATATATATATGGTTAATTTATTGAAAGAAAGTAATGAATATAACAACTTTTTACTTTTATTGCATATGTTGACGCCTACGTGCAGCTCTTTGTTTATCAAATCGTAATTCCATTTCTTCCAAAACACGTGGAGTATATCGTACAACCAATTTCACTGAATTCTGAGCCTGTTTTAATAATTCTACTGCTTTTTCATGATTTTCTCCTTCAACACACTGAAAAATAAACATATATTTAATATAAATATATAAATATATAAATATATAAATATTGAATAATGTTAGATTTTTCTTATTTAAAAAATGTTATATAATGACATTAAATACAAAGATAAATTGCAAATACAAGATACAAGTTTTTTTATTTATTTATTTTTTTTTTACTATATATGAACTCATTTTTTATATTGATAAATCTATCATATTGATAGAAAAAATAAGAAACAAAAATAATTCTAACCACTCCATTAACTGAAAGAAGTTGATCACCGCGTTTTAAACCACCATGACGGTCAGCAACACCACCAGGAATAATTCGTGAAATATAAATTGGCGAATTCTGTTCTTTACCACCCATTACATTAAAACCAAGACCTTCCTCAGTTTTTGGTAATTCTACTACTCGCGGATGTGCATGGCCTTCACTTGCTGCAAAAGCAGCAACTGTTGCTTTTGCTGTAGCTGATGCACGAACATCTTGAGATCCCTAAAATTATTAATTAATAAAATTATAAATTCATATTAAATTTCTTATTCTTAATATGATAATCTTAATCATTTTTTATTATATATATATTTTCATTATTTTTAAAATATTACTATAAATATTATATATTATTACTATAAATATATTTTATAATTATATATTATATTTATTTTCTTACTCAAGTTATCATAATTTTATTACTCAGATGCACAATTTAAAAAATTATGTATCTATTTTTTATTACTATTGATAAAAATAAAGAAATTAAATAAATTATATGTAATTATATATAATTAATGTAATAATATAATAATAATAATAATATTATAATATATTATACCTGAATATCCACAGTTTCATATACATGTTCATATACTTCACGTACAGCACTAAGAAAATCACTTTGCAATACTTTTTGTAAGGCAGCTAATTTTGTTGCAGGTACTTCACCACCTAAAAGAATTCTATAGTTAATATAGTTAATAATAATATTAAATTCTATAGTTATATTATATTATTAATAATATTAAAATTATAATCATTAAATGAAAATTTATTACAAAATAAAATCACGTACATGATTTACATGAAAGTAAATTAAACCAAGAACATTATGAAGGAATGACCATTATGAAGACCTACATAAACAAGGTAATTTTTGCAATAATATTTCATACAATATTCTTATTTCTTACTATTATATTTTGTAATTAAAATGCATTTAATCAATTACCTTTTTGTAATTTGTCTAATAATTCAATAGATCTTTTAACATCTGCAAATAAAAATAAGAAATTTAATAAAAAATAAATTTTAAACAATAAATTATCATATATCATATTCATCTTATCTGTTGTAAAATTATATATATATATATATATATGTATATATTTATTTCTTATAAAAATTTACCATTCGCTAATGTAAGGGGTTCGCCCATCGTAACCATGCCTAGAAATAAAAGAAAAGATATCTTATATAACAGTTATATTTCATTATTCAAAAAAAATATGCAATATATAATTTAGAAAACATACAGATACAGTACTTTCTTCGATAATGACGTAGTCACAAACTGTCAAAAAAATACGTCAACAATTTGATCTATCGACCAACTATTGTCAACCAAAAACTTATAACAACTTGAAAGATGTTTAAATGCTTTCTCGAGACTATGTAATCTAGTAATTTAATGAAGTCAAAATGATTCCCTACATAGTGATTTTATCTATATAATAAATGTAATGAGATTTTTTATTTATTATTTATTACAGTATTTTTTTGTGATTTATTAAAATAAACGTCATAATATAATATTTAAAATTAGTGAATATGAAAAAAAAATAATAAAAATATGAATTTTGTGTAAATCATAAATAAGACTATTACATTTCAAATATAATTATTTTAAATAATCACAAAAAAATCCATTAAATATCATATTATGTATAAATAATTATCAATAATAATACAGAAGTCAATATCTAAAAAAAAAAAGAAAAAGAATGTATGAATTAAAATGATATTGATACTGCCATCTGTGATAGATAATTTAAAATAAATTAATATTTTTGATGTTTTCGCGCCAAATTTGTTGATCAAAATAGATAGTACATAAATACTTAAGAACCACTTGTGGTCTGTAATTAACATGTAATTTTGTTGTATGTAATCATTAGTCGCATAATATAATACAATTTTAATATTGTGAATAAATTTTAAAAAAATATAATTTTTAACTAAATTTTAACAATTAATTGCATTTTTAAAAAAATTATTTATATAAAAAAACAATAGCTATTACATTCTAATTTTATGTTTTTATAATAAATGTTAACATAATATATATCAAATAATAAATATTAAATATCAAACATAACAAATAAGAAATTAAAATTTTAATAATGAATAAAAATTATGATTTAAATAATGATAATAATGCAGATAATAATAAATGTAATGTACAATATGAATTTAAGGAATCAGAGAATGTTAAGAAATCAGAAGACATTACAAAAAAAGAGGAAAATAAATTTTTTAATATGAAAAATTTCTCTAATAGTGATACAAATAATACATTTAATAAAATTTTGATAGAAACAAATAATAAACTTGACAATGAAGATAATGAAATACATAATAAAACTGCAGAAGAAAATAAATTTGATCAAAAAAATAATGAATATAAAAATGAAATTAATAACTATTCTGATAATGAAATTATAGTTAATAAAACTGTAAAAGAAAAAAATACAGAATCTGATCAAGCAAATAATAAATATGAAAACAATGATATTTACAATAGATTATCCAAGATAATAGATAGTGATTCAGAAGAAGAAAATATATTTACTTTTAATTCCAATAAAAATAAATCTATTTATAATAAATCAAAAGATGAAATGTCTAGTTCTGAATATAACAAAAATCATTTAAAAAATAAAAATAATATGAAATTGTTTGACAGTGATACAAGTGATAATATTCTTAATAAAACTGATACCGAAGAAATAATTTCAAATAAAAAAAAAATTACAAACAGTGTAAGTAATATATTATATATAAATTATAAAATATATATAATTTAATTATTAAATAAGTAATTTACAATTATTAAATAATTATATTATATTTCACAGATAAAAAACAAATTTCAAACTTTAATAGATTCAGAATCAGATGAAGAAAGAAAAGATGATGAAGAGCTATTAAATCCAATAAAACATGATAAAATTAAAAAATGTAAAGAAAAATATTCTAAAGTGAAGAAAGTAAGTTGAAAAATATCAAAATTTTTAATTTTCAGAAATTAAATAACATATAAAATTATTATTTTAAGATAATATTTTTAAGCAAATATTAGATAATTATTATTGGGTTGTTCAGAAAATAATTTCATTCTTTTTCATAATAAAACATGTGAAAAAACGAAATTACTTTTCAAACAACCTAATACTTATAAAGTTCATAAAAATAATATTGTATTGTAGGTTTCATTAAAAGCTTCTAAAGAAGAAGCTATGAAACAAATACACAGTGAAACTCAACGTTTGATTCGAGAAACAGAGATTTCACTTCCATATCATAAACCAAAACAACGAACATTACAAGAATTTTTAAATAGAAAAAAAGTAATAACAGCTCTTCCAAAAGCACCTACAATGGCAGCTAAATTAAAAATGTCTTCTATTATTGTTGAGTAAGTATTTTTTATAATTTAATTATTTATTAAATTCAGTAAAAATTAAAAAATTTTTTTTAAACAGTGAAGTTTTAAAAGAAAAAGAAAAAGAAGCAGAAATATTTTATAAATCCTCTGATTCAGAAGACGAAACTAAAGAAATCAATAAAGAAAATACAGATAAAGAAATGAACATAAAATGTATGCAAGACCTGAAGAAAAATAACGTTTCACGAAAATTATTTATTGATAATAATTTATCTGTCCTAGAAAATAATGAAGAAAAAAATGATATAATGAAAGAAATTAGTGAAACATTAACTGAAACAAAGGAAATTGAATATAATAATACAATTATAAATGATAGAACAGAAAAAAATGGAACAAACTTGGAAATAGCAGAAATACATTGTGAATTCAATAAAATAGAGAATAAGAATGTAATGTCTAAATTAAGTGAAACAGCTAAAAACGAAAAAGAAGATTTACAAACTAACTTTAGTCAAAATAAAAATAAAGAAAAAAACATATATATTGATAATAATAAATATGATTCAGAAATTATAAATAAACATTCAGATATTTCTACATCAAAAAATAATAATGATTATGCAAAAATTGTGAAACAATCTTTAGGAATAACGACAGATGAATCTGATGAATATAATGAATATGGTTTGCCACCGCCTAAATTTGATGAATCACCAGATATTATTAAAAAGAAAACTTTATTAAATATAAAAGATTTAAAACCTAAATTAAGAGGTATTCCAGGTACAGTGATCGATTTATCAGATAACATTAAACCAAGTAAGAAAGGAATAAGTGCTTTGATAGATCGATTTATATGCAAACATTCTAAAACCAAAGAACATATTAATGATATTAAACTTACAACAATGCAAATAAAAGAATCTTCAAATGGATTATCAATTATTAAAGAAACACTTCCATACAGATTATCAAATATAGCAAATGAAGATGCTAAATTAGAAAAACCTGGAGCTAAGTTAAAACGTTTAAAAGAAGAATTGAAACAGAAGATGGTATTAAAACGTAATGAAGAATGGAAACAAAAAGAAGAAGAAATGAAGGAACAAGAAATAGAGTGGAATGAATCCATAAATGAAGAAGATAATTTCAATGAACCATATTCTCCAAGTATAGAATCTCACAAAACCGAAGAAGATGAATTAGAAGAAGATGATATGTGTATAAAAAAAGGAAAAGAGAAAAAAAAAAATGTTTTTATAGATGATGAAGCTGAAGTCAGTGAAAATGAAATAAACGATAGTGATGAAATTGAAGATGAAGATGAAGATGAAGTTCAAGAAAATTCAGAAGATGAAATATATGAAAAACTTATTTCAGAAAATGAAGATGAAAATAGCATTTGTGATAGCAATGAAGCATTTACAAAACATAAAACATTTAAGCGGATTTTAGAATCTTTAGATGATGATTCAAAATCTTCAATCATTGAAAATAATAAAAATATTGAAAATCAGACTTCTTTTTCTCAAATAACATTAGATAATAAAAATTTTAAAGAAAATGAGTTAAGCGATAATGAAAATGATATTCCAGTTTTTCAAATACATACAAAAAATGATTCAGAATATCAAAATCAAACACCTAAAATTAAAAGCAATACTTTAGATTTTATTTCTCCTATAACGCAATTAACTGCACTAAATGCTCATGTAGGAGAAGAAAACGAACTAATAACGGAAGAAATTGCAGAAACTAGAGATTTATTTCATCAAATGCGAGATTTCAATAAACAAGCTACATTACAAAGAAAATTATTTGTTAGTCAAGATAATGTATTAGATGAGGATCTCATGGAAATATGCTCAGGTAAATTTCCAGATGATAAATTTATTTGCTCCAAATTTGCAAAAGAAGCTAATGTAAGTGAAACACAATTATTAGAATTATGTTCAGGAACTTTTAGTTCTCAACCAAATGGTAAAGAATTAGTTGACACCAAAGATGAGTTATTTCAAAATACAGGAGTATCTGATGAAAAGAACTGTTCATACTATGAAACAGATGAAAAAGATAAACAACAATCAAAAGAACCTTGGAATAAATTTCGTATCTTATCTTCTGATGAAGAAGATTCAGTTGAAGAAGAAATTAATAAGAAATCAAAAAAAAGAATTAAAAAATTAAATTTATCCGATGATGAAGAAGATTCTTCTGCAATAAGTAGTAATGATGAGCATGATGAAAAGGATGATGATGAAAAATTTATAGATTATGACTCAGAAGAAAATGAAATAATTATTCCAAAAAAAAATATAAAACAATATGCAGCTAAATTTTTAGAGGAAGAAGCAGAGCTTAGCGAAAGTGATTGTGATGTATCTGCAGATGAAGATGAACAGGATTTAGATAAATTGGAATTCGAAGATGGAGATAATGAAGAAATCGATGAAACAAAAGTAAAAAATCAAATAGGGAAACTTCATATGAGACAATTGTTGGATGAAGATCAGAGAGAAGTAAGAATGCTCCAAGAATTATTATTTGAGGATGGAGATTTGTTTAGTGAAAGCACACGAGAAAGGAAATTTAAATGGAGAAATATAGGTAAACTGAAATTTAAAAAACTTATATTTCTATATTTTTTCTATCTATATATTAATCTATATATATTAATTTATATCAATAATTTGTATTGATATCCATAATAAAATATTTAACTTTTTATTTATTTTTTAGATAAACAAGATGATAATGATAATTCTCAACCATTAGAAGATAAAGACGGTTGGGTAGATTTATCTGATGATGAAGACGAAGCAAAATGGCGTAAAATACGACACGAAAGAGAAAAATTCTTAGCAGAAAAAATGGTAAGATAAATTCTAATCTGAATGATATCATTTAGAATAAGTCATTTTATTTTACATATTATTAATTTTCAGAAAAATGTAGATACTGAAATTGA